AAAAAAAAAAAAAAAAAAAAAAAAAAAAAAAAAAAAAAAAAAAATTATCTATGTCGGACTTACGACCATGTCGGACTTACGACCTGGATTTGGGTCCCTAACCCCGTCGTAAGTCGGGGTCTAGTTGTATCTATTAATTATGTGTAAGTCAGACAGGGTTGCATAAAATTGTCATAAATGATGTATGACAAGACGTCGATATAGTTCATCGTACCGACTATTTATATTTTTGGTGCTTCCCTAAATCATCATTTACTGTGTTGAATATTGAAAAACATCAAGAATCCCAAAACTCTGGCCTGCATATATTTCTACATCCTATAAATGTCACGAATGTACATTTTTTAAATGCATTTTTAAAATCTAATAATCATAATATTCAACACAGTAAATGAGGTTTAATAATTTAATAATAAGTTGTCAGCAATAATTAGGGAATCCCAAAATATTTCTGACAACTTACAGTATTATTAATCATCATTTACGGTGTTTAATATTAAGAATATTAGATTTTAAACAATACTGTACAATGTTAATGAACTCAAAATGTGGTAGTGATAGCATATAGATAAGTTACTCTTGATGTGTAATAAAAATAAAACATGAATTTTACGCTGAACTTGTCTTATACTTTTTTCCTTTTCAAGTGTCTGTTATGACATTGAATGTTTCCTCTCACTTTAAATTACCCCTTGATTATCTTTTCAAATAACCTAATTGTCGTCGCATATGGCCTCAAAAAGTCCCTGAAATTGATCAAATTTTAAATTGGGGCTGTATGGGCTCGCTGCGCTTGCCCTGTATATATTTACATTCGCACAATCTAGGAACCCCCCATACCAGAATACTAGGTGAGCCCTTGATGTCCCAGACACAGCTGTTCAAACCACAAACACATTATTGTTTAAAACTACAGGTACGTTCTGCGAAACAATACAAAGACGAATCCACCTCTTCTAGAATAGCTTGGATAACCATAATACTACTCCTACTCTTTTGTGGCACCACCGTGTCAATGGACACATCCACATAAGTCCTGAAACCAGCTGCCTTAGCTGCACTTTTGGGATGTGACCATATGGAATATATGGAATATATTGATGCTCATCTCCAGAGAGCTATGGGCACCCTCGAAACTCTACGCCAACATTCTAACAATTCTACCATGGTAACACAAACTATAAATCTTCAGCTACTTTGTCTCAAAACCCTTCATAAGAATATCGTCACAGCTCGACGCTCTATTCTATCATCTCAAGATGACATTGCTAAGAAGGCTCGTTCACAAATACGACGAAAGCAAAGATTATTTAATTTTATTGGTTTCTTTTTTTTTTATTCAAACGTTAACACCATTTATCTAGGACTGTTTATAATTTGATGAATTCAGTGCCTACACTGGAATGGCTAATTTCTTTTTCTGAGTATCTGCATGCTGCAGAAACTTCTGCTCAAGCTTTATCTACTAACAAGGACAATCTAATTGCAAGTGTAGTTGGTGCAGGGTTAGGACGTGTGGAAGCACAGCTTGTGCCTATACATACTCTTCTTGAAGCCTTACAAATAGCCAAGACGAGTTACCACTTAACTCCTATTTTCACAGGGCAGGAGGTGGAATATTATTATCATTTGTTAGAGTCAACTCTCAAACACAATGCTATACTATCCACATACCCATGCTCTCTCAATGCAAATTTAATGCATGGCATTAAGAACCTTTCCATTGTATTTGAATGACACTGTTAACTATGGATAAATCAACTGAAATTTTACTATTAGATGATGACTACACATTATTAGCAGTGGATGATCCGAGGGTGTTGTCATGGTGTAAATCATCATACCTACACTTGTATGTATGTCTGGCCTATGCATTCGCATTTATTCCTGCTGCAGAAGGAATATATGAGCTGGCGATCATACAGACTAACATTCGCACAGCGCTGAAGCAATGTAACTATACATCAATTTCTAAGAAAACTGTATTCATGCACATCTACATAATGTGCAATATTTTTTCTTCCCTGAAGAAACCAGTGTCATTTTACAGTGCCAGGATGGCGGTTAAAATTTATTTGTAAGAGGATATTATAAGGCTCCAAACTATTGCGAAATCACTTGTAGTTTGTTGAGCACATTGCCTTCCCATCACCATTTTGCATTGAATTTAAATCTAACTTCGTACTTGATTCCTTTGTTTCCTGCTCCTAATATGACTTTAAGTGACCTCAATATAGTTTCAGATAAATTAAAGTTATTTCTTATCTGAAGGAGTCACATTTTGCTAATTTAGAGGATAACCTGCCATATTATTTTTCAGAGGGATTCGCTATACCTAGTTTAACGGTTCCCACTATTGTATTAATGTTGGCAGTGATATTTTGTTTTGTTATTATAAATCAATATCATCCAAATTTACCATTGTACATAACATACTCTCCCGTAAGGCACTTCAGACTAGGTCTCCAGTAGCTGCTCAACCCCAGGTTGCAGCTTCACCAGTTTAGTGTCTACACACGCATTCATGTAACATGGGTAGAGATATATGTACAGGGTTTTTCTGCGAGGTTAGTTAATTTCTCTTGGAGCTCGGAAGGTGGTGACCGAGCAATATATTAGCTCCTGTCTAATAGAAAGTAGTACTTATATAAATATAGGTTATATACATTAGGTTTATATACTGTAACTACATCTCTCACTGTAATTTTCCATGAGCAAGTGAGCTATCATGCACAGACCATGTGATAGCCAGCTATTCAGAAGCCGGCTCTTTCTCAGTCATCACTCACCTCTAACGAAAGATGGACGTCGAACTAAAGCGTCTTGATAAACTTCGTTCACCATTAACCCTCACAGCTCATAGTGTTAATTACGGTGATATCCCAGTTGACTCTCCATATTCTATTTTTTATAAATAAATGACGAAAAGACCATTTGGATTTTGCAAACTTAACCCATAAACTTATTATAAATGTGACTACTAAGTTGCCTCTCATCAACAAGTCTCAGGCAACCGGAAGTAGTTACACACTCCTCATTATTGACTGATCTTTAAGGTTATTCCCTATTCTTCTATATACAGTATAAGAGCTCACTTTCCCTGTTCTGCACAGCTCAACCCACTCATAGAATTTATCTAATACACTTGGCTATTGGATTTATTCCCACTATTAAAAGTACAAAAACACCAAAACACATACATATCCTGGGACAATTTCAATAAGAAACCAACCATAAATAAGGCAGTGGACAAACTACAGATAATTACCAACCATCCATGTACTGTATACATTACTGAAATATATTAATATTATATTTTATATTTACACTTATTTGTGATAACATTGAATATGTTAGTGGACTTGGCATAAAAAGTCCCCAGTGTAATACAGTAGCCACCTTCGTCTTGTTATACAGCCTCTGTGCACTGTAAATCCTTGGGACACACTGATGCCTGCAGGCCCACTGGGTGGTTATCCCACCAACTCTGTCCACCAAAGTTGTGCAGTGAGAATGGGAAGACAATGGCATGCAATTTGAGACTGGAACCATGAAAATCAAACAGGAAACAGATTTTTTTACTAATTTTAAGTCGATGACAAAATTTTCGTCATCGGAATGCTAACAGTTTTTTGGATGACGAATTCTTTGTCATCAGTCTGTCAAGTTGTTAATTCTCCACAGTAATTAATCATAAACCTCTTAAGCGTCTGTTATTTATCTGGAACTAATGTCGGTGTCGAGTAAAATTTTTCCATTTATTTGAAATGGATTTACCGATTTATTTGTTTATTTATTTACTTATAATATACTGTAATACAGTAGAAGTCCAAAAATCCGGACTGATTGGGGATTGGGTCGGTCCGGATTTTCCGGATTCTCAGGCAGTACTTTTAAAATTAAAATTTAAGGAGGAATAAAGAAGAGATGAACAGGTACATTTTGATAGTTTATTCATTAGCAAATAAAGCATGCTTCATTTATCAAAACGAGCAGTTTTAAAGAAAAATAAAGTCAACACTAAACAAAAATGTAAACAAACTGTCTAATACCATGACGAGTCTTGAAATTCCTAAGCCATCCATCACTAAATGCGCACTCTGATTCAATGTTCATTTGCTCCTTAAAAGACTTTGCTTTGGCAATAAGCATCGGCCCAGAAATTGCCATACCTTCTGATCGTTTTAACAAAAACCATTCGTGCAACACTTTATCAAGATTTTCTAATTTGGGCCAATGTAAACTTTTTCTTTCAGCAATTTTAATGTAAGGCTCAGAAGAAGCTGTGAATTCTAGAATTTTATTCTTTGCCTTTTTTATATCATAAATTGTAGACTTTCCAATGTTGTATGTTTCCATTAGAACAGCATTGCTCACATTACATTCTAGTTTCTTAATTATTTCAAGTTTGTCACTAAATTTCAATGTGTTCTTCTTTCTCTTCACACAACGAAGTTTATCTACTTTAGGGGCCATTATTATGGGCTTGTACTCTGTACATGGAAAGAGTAGGACTCAAAATTACATACGTTGTCAGTTTGATTGCTTGTTTTAAAGTGGCGATCGTGTGGTCGTTTGTTGTTGTTGTGCAGCTGTGGCATTCACGCATGCACACAAAAGATTTATAGTGCCTCAAATTTTACATTTCAGTTCAAGCTAATTACAAAACTAACAAAATTAGCTACCTATAATTTACAATTACTTTTATAATTGGAATTATGTAAATTAATTTTTTAAAGCAACTCCATTCATTCACATAACCCACAAAAGCCCGCTAAATTTAAAAAGTTTGAGTTTTCGAAAGTCCGGATTCTCGGGTGGTCCAGATTCCTGGCTTCCGGATTTTTGGACTTTTACTTTATATTAAATACACTGCAAGTACAGTATTTTCTTTAATTTATAAACTTTACGATCGGTGGTGGGACTGTGTTTGGACTGTTTACACCAACTATTCTAATTCAGTAGTGTTTCATTAGGATTTGAGTGAAAAAGATTACGTACTTACTATATACATTTATTACACAAATATACAGTACAGTATATATACATATATACATACACATTTAATATACTAATTCACAATATTTTAAAATCAAATTACACGACAAGTTAAAAATTTTATTAGCACATGATTATTACTTCAGTCATCATGTATTAAAAAACCTTCAAAATACATCATCAACATCTGATATCATAAGTTCTTCAAGTACATCCTGAGATACAGTTATGGTTGCATCATCATTAGGATCAAACTCCAAATCAGACGACGTGGCTTTGGCTTCTGTTTCATCCTCGTCCTCCCACAACATATCATCCTCCATACCATCCATTGAATTAGATATTCCCCACTTTTTAAAAAGACTTGATAACAAAATCACACAGTACATCCAGTTCAGGAGCATGCATATTCCCACCTTTCTATTAAGACTTTTTGCCGCTAATCATCCACTCGTTCCATTGTTCACGAACGCGGTCCTTGAATGGTTTGTTTAGACAAACATCAAGTGGTTGTACAACTGAAGTTAATCCACCAGGAATAACTGCAATGTCACTGTCGTTCCTCGTCATGCTGGTTTTTGTTTCCTCTGTTAAATGACTCGCGAACATATCCCATACTCAGAGGCTACGCTGTTTTCGAAAGCCACCAGGTCGCCTACACCATATATGATCAATCCATAACTTTATTCCTTGTTCGTCCATCCACCCTTTCTCTTTGACATGAACAAAAACTCCAGCCGGGAACTTAATTTTGGGCATTGTCTTCCTCTTGAAAATTAGCATTGGGTTCAGCTAGGTTCCACCTGCCATGCATGAAAGTACTACTGTAAACCGTGTCTTTTCATGTCCTGTTGTTTTCACTAACACTTTGTGCCTTTGTATGATTACAGACCATGTCAAAGTTCATAAGTGTTTCATCCATGTTCCCGATGTTGCTTAATGGATAACCGTGTTTCCTACGTTGTTGTATTACGTAGCGATGGAAACTAATAATTTTACAGTCAAGATCTGCTGGTAATTTTTGCTCTATTTTTGTTTTCTGCCTCAGTACTAGATCGTTTCTTTCCATAAAATGGCTACAATACAATACATGTACCTCTGATACTTTACATAACAATTTAATATACCAGACCACAAAATACATGTACAGTATACACCACAACCAGCTTGTACTGTATGCAACACTGTACAATATCTAACTTGCACAAATTCTACTTCTATACACTAATATACAGGGTATTACTATTCTGTACATTAAACCAATTTGACATGTGAATATGCTTGACAACATATTTCATTATTTTACAATTTACAGATACCAGAAACAATTTCTTATCTAATGACAAATTTCAGTAATTATACAGAGAAACGGTAAACATTTCTATAGGTAAATAATAAAATTACATTTCTTGAATAAAAAAATTGCATGACATTACCCATCCTGGTATGTTATTTATATTTGTTTAATACCTTTGTGCATCTTAAGTACATGTTTCTTGAGACTGCCATTTTGTGAGAAAAAAATTCCACATTCATCACATTTAAAATTTTTAATACCATTGTGCACAAGCATGTGGGTTTTGAGAGCACACTTTTGTGCAAAATGTTTCCCACATTCATTACATTTAAACTCTTTAATACCAGCATGCACAAGTAAATGTTTCTTGATATCACTCTTTTGTGCAAAATGTTTCCCACATACATCACATTTAAATTTTTTAATACCAGCATGTAAACGTATGTGCTTCATAAGATTTTCCTTTAGTGCAAAATGTTTCCCACATTCATCACATTTAAACTCTTTAATACCATTGTGCAAAAATATATGTCTCTTTAGGCAAGCCTTTCGTGCAAAATGTTTCCCACATTCATCACATTTAAAGTTCTTAATACCATTGTGCACAAGCATGTGAGCCTTAAGACCACCATTTTGTGTAAACCGTTCCCCACATTCAGCACATTCAAACTTTTTAACACCATTGTGCACAAGTATGTGGGTCTTGAGAGTACTGTTTCGTGCAAAACGTTTCCCACATTCATCACATTCAAATTCTTTACGAACATTGTGCACAATAATGTGTCTCTGGAAAGCATTCTTATGAGCAAAATGTTTCCCACATTCATGACACTGAAACTCTTTAATACCATTATGCTCAAGTGTGTGTCTCTTTAGGTCACTCTTCTGTGCAAAACGTTTCAAACAAATATCACATTCAAACTTTTTAACACCAGTGTGCACAAGCATGTGTCTCTTGAGATTACTCTTTAAGGTAAACTGCCTTCCACAATCTTCACAAGGGAACTTGTTTTCTTCACTTGACATTGTGAACTAGTGAAGTGTTAAACTTGGTCCTCAGATGTGATATCTGAAACAAAATAATTTGTCTTAGATATTATTCTTATCACACATACCATTATTAAATGTCAACTACAAATGGTTTGTTTTTCAGGAACAGAACCTTTCGTGGGTCCAGGGATGCTTGTACCTGTAGTATTGTAGAGCCACAAGCATTGCCAGCTTACCCAGCTGTGAATAAGTACCCAGTACTTAACATTACAAATGACAAAGTGTAAGTAGTCAAGTACAGTGCCAGTGCACATCATTACAACAAAACAGCTCTTACCTCAGTCTGCCAGACAGAATAAGCACAGGTCATATGATGACCTCATTTGCAACACGACTGTTTTGTGGACTCCTCTTGAATCAACATCTACTTATACTGGTCAGCCTAAACAGACCAACTGGAAAGCACAAAGTGACAACTTACCCGACCTTACCAACAACCTGGCAAAATTTATCCATAGAAGATGCAACAAAAGCTTTCTTATTTAGACGGGCAGATCCAGGAATATCAAGGGGGGGGTGGGGGCATACATGGCGAGCACAGCAAGTCCACCCAGCTTGGAGTTTGTGTGTGCGGGTGTGTGGGGCTATACCCCCCCCCCCCCCATTTTGAAGCCATGTGCACTTGATATTAGGAGACATTCTGAAGTCAATAGTAATTACTTTTTACTATACAAAACTGCCCGAGTACAATACTGCATTAAAGAAAAGGTTTTGGAATTTTCTGATGAAAAAAGGTTAGGTTAGGTTAGGTTAGGATCAGCCCCTGCTAGAAAACCAAACAATAAGTGATGGAAGACTGTTTTTTGTGAGATATCAGATTTGATGTGTTAAATAGGCAGGGGAAGACAGCCAACACAACCTTGCTGCCAGCAACAGTTTCAACTGTAGGAATGCTTATTTCACAGAGAGGAATTTATTTTATATGAGAAGAATAGGATAAGAAATAGCCATAATATTTTAGGTTAGGTCAGGTTTGGTTCGGCTTATTTCAAAATTTTGTGAACTATAAAACAGAAATTGTAACAACGAGAAAGTAAACTTGGCAGACGGAGGAACTCCAGATGGAAAACTTCAAATAAAAAAAATCATACAAAAAGATGCACAATGCATTGCTCCTGCACCATTTTTTACTTCTTGGGATACAAAAGCATTTTTCTTCTATGGAGATTTTTACAGGTTGCCACCATATTCTTATTGTAAATAAGATACAGTAAAACAATGAAAACTACCTAACCTGAGCTAAGGTACCTATCCTAAGATGGACATGCATCATTTTAGGTTAATTTAGGTAGACCAGTGTCAGTTTGTTGTTTTATACAGTACTGTGTGAAGTGTAGCTGGATACCCCAGCTATTGAACAAAACAGCTTGCACAGCCTGGTAGCCCAGCCCTGAGTACAGTACTATCATCCACTGTCTCCAATGTCATGGTCACAATGGCACGGCTGGTCTGTTTGAAACCTGATGATTCATATTATGTTCCACGTCCTCAAAACATGTGGATAACATGCGAGTTATCCAAAGGAAGAAACATGTTTTCCTAGCTTAGGTGCCATCCATTTTCCCTGACTTCCTGAAACCAACCTCTATAAAGTAAATTTAAATGTGAGGTAGAATACCATTGTTTTGAGTCAACTTAGATATGTTTGATTACAGTTAAAGCATTCAAGATCCTTTGTGAGTGATGTTGAAAGCTTCAACTGTCTTTATTGTTAGTAACACTTGTCAAGTAAGTGAGTGTCGAGTCTGCCAGCACGAATGGCATCCCATGATATCGTCCTTGGGGATAGCCATGAGTTTCCAATTGCTACTGAAGTTAGATTATTTTGATGCCCAAACATCAGAATCTGATGTTTGTAGTTTAGTCAGTGTCAGTTGTCTATTTAAGAAAGTCATTATCTCCTGAAGATTCTGTCAAACTCAAAATCTCCAAGAGCTAATGGTTCCTTGTTTGTAGTTTTGCTGATTTTGTAAAAGTAGTGTTGTGTGTGTACTTGATGCCCATTTCACTTTTTCCTGGCAAGCTCAATCACTGATTAGATTATAAAAATAGACTTAAGAAATACACCTGACCCAAGATACAGATTTTCATAGTTGAATGTACAGCGATTGAGTTGAATCAAATTTCTGTTGTTTGTGAGATAAGCCCTTCTGGCATGCCTGCACAGGCCTGAGTTGCCAGATGCCTGTATATAAACGAATGCATGAGGAAGACTCACAGGCTCGTGACTCTTCCTCAATGCATCTCCAGGTATGTAAAGTGAGTTTAACTCAGTTGAATTTTGTGAATATTAGTGTTCATGTTTTAACATAGTGAAATGATCATGTGCCAAGTATAATTAAAGTAAAGTAAGTATTGTCTGTATCATTGCCAGAAGTATACAGCTACTCCTCGACTTACGACCACCCAAGTCATACCACAAATTTTTCAAATTACGTATTTTCGAGTCCCGACGTTAGTGATTGCGCTGTGTACTGACAAAATTTTCATTTTTAATTCCCTTTAAAATGGCTGGCATGCTTAAAATTGAGAGTTTTGTGGTGCTGAGAAGATAAAAAGACACCCATTTTAGATTTTCTATGTATTATCTTCGCATCTTCGACTTACGACCAATTTGACTTACGACCTGGATTTAGGTCCCTAACCCCGTCGTAGGTCGAGGAGTATCTGTAGTTATGTGTAGTTGAGTTTGACATTTTAACACGCTCGTGACTCTTCATCAACGCATCTCCAGGCACAGAGAGGGTGTTAGCTGAATACCCAACAGCCACCGGTGATCGAAAGCTGCATACCAGCTGGCTGTGTTGTATGATGTCGTTAATTCGGCCCGATTGAATTGAGCGATTCTCACACCCTGGGAACTAAGCCTGCGGGACGAACTCCCTCTCAGTGTGTCAGACTGCAACCGACCTAACAATGCTCTTCGTTTATTGGGGTGACACCCTGGTGCATTCCTCAGTTACAATATATGAGCCAAAGTATTATTGTTGTACCTGATTGGGGATAACTAGCAGAAATATAGTTATCCCATGTTGAGTATTGAACCACTAAATATTGATGTTACCAGTAATAACGCTTGTTATGTGGGTTGTGAGTACAGTAATCCCGTGTTTTTTTGTTTTGTGTTTTATTGCAGTTTTGACCATTCGCGCTTTTTTTACAAAAAATTATGTACAGGTACAGTATATATAAAATATCCTTTAAGAACAAAAATTTTAATTTCGCACCTTTTTTTATATTCCCGTGTGGTGCGGCAAACAGACGCCACCCTTTCCTGCCTCAGACACCCGCTGCTCTGAGAAGCCTCAGTCCACACGTGCCTCCCGTACTGTGAACACTACTGTGATTACCTCTTCTGTTTGTCCTCCCACATGCATTCCACATGGCTCCGGGGCGTAAGCCAGCCTCATCAAAGGCAAATATTACTAGCAAAGACTCTAAAGTGACCAGGAGATCAAGAATAGTAATGACCTTAACGGAAAAAACAGTTTTATTGGACAGGCTCAGAGGTGGTATGAGCTATGGCTCGAGATGTGGTGAAGACTGATAACTCATTTGTATCTTTTGTCAGAATACAAGTCTTCAAGTGGAGGAATGTGGGTGGAAGAGGACTGGCTGGCTGGTGTGACTGCGTGAGGGCGGGCAGACGCCAGGACAGGCTGGCAATGCGGGTGTTGTCAACCTCAGCGAAATACAAAATTTTTTATGAGGTTATGAAGTAACTATAGGAAATGAAATAACTAGACAGAACTAATGGAGAAAATGAATGAAGTAAGAAATTAAGAGAAAACAGGTTGAAGAGTTTAAAAGTTAACCACAATGGGATAAAAAACATAGTTAAAGAAAACAACACCAAAAAAATACCCCGACCTTATACCAAGATTGTGTGTGCTAATTTATTGGTGGAGGGAACTTTCCCATTGTCTCATTGTATTAAATCCACACTTGGCCCGACATGTTTTTCCAATTACATTTAGTCAACAGAAGTAAGACAAACATGGTGACTCAAACACCATGCACTGCATACACTCTTGTGGAAAACAAAACAAAAACGAAAAGTAGGAATTTTGCAATTCCTCCACCAACAGTATATCTTATTGTTCATTAGGTAAGAAACGAGCATTTTCCTAGAATCTTTTTTTCACAAAGTAGTTCCTTCACATGTGTCTGACATCTAAAGTTTCCTATCAAATAGATCCTTCACACAAGCCTGACATCTAAAGTTTACCACAAAGTAGTTCTTTCACACGAGCCTGACATCTACAGTTTACCACAAAGTAGTTCCTTCACACAAGCCTGACATCTACAGTTTACCATCAAGTAGTTCCTTCACACAAGCCTGATGTCTAAAGTTTACCACAAGGTGGCTTCTTCACATACATCTGATGTCTAAGGTTTACCATAAAGTGAGGATAATATTCTGTAGTTGCCAAGCATGGAACTCTATATTAATTCTTATATAGGGAGATTGAGCAATAAATAAATAAATAAAAATAATAATAACAATATTTTACATTTCTCATTGGAAATGTATAGGTTTGAGTTATTTTGACTTTTTTTACCTTTCTTTCACTTAAACATTGTATAAGTTTGAATGGAAATACATTGTTTACTTCTTACTCAGACAATCAGTGGATGTTTGGATGTCATGTGATACTCGTGTGCAAGCACAAGCTCTGGAATTTGAATTGCGTAGTTGCAAGATGCTGTTTGTCTGTGAAGGTTGTTCGTTGGGAGACTGGCATGTATTTCACAAGTATTTGAGAAGGAAGCTGCAGCTGTTGACATCTTTAGGTCTCATGGTATTCTTCCTGGTTCAGTAAAGTATCCAAGGTGTAATTCAGACTGCCTGTATCATCAAGATCCTCCTCCATCTGTTAATTAAGGTAAGTTTTGGTTAGGTAAAGTTAGGTTAGGTTCAGGCAGGTTTACACACCAGTGTAGGGGAGAGCGGTAAGCATAGGAGGTTAGGTAAGGTCATTCTGGCTTCTCTGGTTGGGTTAAGTTAGATACGTATACTGTACAGTAGAACGTCGATATAACACGAGATACGTTCCATGAGAGGTCGCTTTAAACCGAATTCGTACCAAATTTAATTTCATATTAATAAACCATGAATAGAGTACAGTGATCCCTCGGTTAACGAGCGCCTCGGTTAAGTTGATTTCGGTTAACGAGTTACCTCCCATAAGATTCTTAACTTCGGTTAACGAGCAATCCCTCGGTTAGCGACTTTCTTACGAGCTGATCTCAACAAGTTTTCACTTGCACTTGGCGGTCAACCAGATGTAGTACAGTGATCCCTCGGTTAACGAACGCCTCGGTTAACGAAATTTCGGTTAACGAACTGCCTTCCATAAGAATCTTCAATTCGGTTAACGAATTTCTTACGAACCGACCTCAACATGTTTTCGCTTGCACTGGCCGGGCAACCAGCTTTAGTATCAGTCCGCCAATACATTAATCGGTTCTAGGGCTTAAATTCCTTACTATTTTAGTAAATATCAAGAAGTTTATACTGTTCAATAATTTTAAAAGTTTAATATTCAATTTTTTAGTCATTTTAACAATTATTGAACATAATTGAAGGTAAAGTGACTAGTTTAATGTGCGGCATCCAGCCTCTTAACACTGGAGGTAACATCTTGCTTGAGACTCTCTTCAACTAAACGTTTTTTTCTGTGTTTCCAAGCAAATTATTGGTCATTTTGAAATTTATTTTACATATTGACAATATATAGCGCAGTGCAGTGTTATTCTAAAGAAAATATTCTTTATTTACAACAAGTTTAACTTTGAAAAACACGTGTTGACATTGTTTGAATCCAGCATGGGGCCTAAGAGATCAAGAAAAGCTATTTCAATCCAAACCAAGCAGGAAATCATAAAAAAACATAAACAAGGTATTAAATCAAATGTGCTTAGCAAAGAATATGGCATGTCGGCATCAACTGTGTCGACAATTCTTGCACAGAAAGACAAATTTAAAGAAGTGAAAGTGAGAGACAAATCTACAAGTGTGTTTAAAAGTAGATCCCTAATCGCAGAAACTGAGAGGTTACTTATCATCTGGATTAGGGAAAAACAGATGAAAGGTGATTCAGTTTCTACTGAATTCATTTGTGAAAGAGCCAGGGAGATTTACGAACATTTAAAGACAGATCAACCTGGTTCTTCAGGCACAGAATTTGAAGATTTTCGGGCCAGCAAAGGCTGGTTCGAAAAATTTAAGAAAAGAAGTGACATTTTCAGTGTTGTTAGGCATGGTGAAGCTGCTAGTGCTGATAAGGAAGGGGCAGCAAAGTTTTTAGTTGAATTTAAAAAACTGATGGAAGAAGAAAATTATCTTCCACAGCAAGTGTTCAATGTGGACGAAACTGGGCTGTTATGGAAAAAGATGCCCAAAAGAACATTCATCACCAAAGATGAAGCCTCTTTACCTGGGCATAAACCCATGAAAGACCGTCTCACTCTATTGCTTGGTGCCAATGCTTCAGGGGATTTCCGACTGAAGCCTATGCTTGTCTACCACTCTGAAAACCCCAGGGTGTTCAAGCAACAGAAAGTGGTAAGAACAAAACTTGGAGTTTATTGGAAGTCCAACCGTAAGGCATGGGTGACAAGACAGCTCTTTAATGAATGGGCTGTTGAGGTGTTTTGCCCTTCTGTCAAGAGCTACCTAACCACCAATAAACTCCCTTTAAAGGTTCTTCTCCTCATGGATAATGCTCCTGGTCATGACCCTGACCTTGCCAGCAATTTGGAGTATCAATTTGACTTTGTGAAAGTGTTGTTTTTGCCTCCCAACACTACATCAATCATACAGCCAATGGACCAGAATGTGATCAGCAACTTCAAGAAGTTGTACATGAAGAAAATGTTTAGGAGGTGTCATCAGGCAACTTCCACTGATCCTGAACTAACACTGAAACAGTTCTGGAAGACACAATTCAACATCCTGGAGGCTGTAAAATTGATTGTGTCATCATGGCAAGAAGTCTCCACTAGATCCCTCAATTCTTCATGGAAAGCACTGTGGCCATCAGTAGTCCATGATTTTGAGGGATTTGAGGAAGAAACAGAGTTGGACAAGGAGATTGTGTCCATTGGTCAGTCATTGGGCCTTGAAGTGGAGGAGGAGGATGTGGAAGAGCTTGTGATGTCTCATGAGGAGGAACTTACTCCTGATAACTTGAAGCAACTGGATGAGATGTTACAGGTAGAGGCTGACAGTGGTGAGGAGGATATTGAAAGTGATGACCATATGTCAGCTAAACAGTTGAAAGATGTGATTTACCACTGGGAGAAGTTCAGGGAACTGGCTTCAAAGCACCCAGAAGTGGAAAAACTGAACTAACTTTGTGTCATGTTGAGGACTCAATGGTCTCCTTCTTCAAACATAAGTTAATGGTGAGGAGGACAGATGCCCCACGGACCACAATTGACACTTTCTTCAGTAAAAGGCAGAGGGAACAAGATGCTATCACTCTGCCTTCAACTTCAAGAAGGAGAGAGGATGATGCTTGCCCTCAGCCTTCCACTTCAAGAAGGAGAGAGGGTGTTCATGGTGGAGAATCTTTCAGTCCAGAGGTTCCTGACATTTTCATGGAAGGTGACTCACCTTCCAAGAAGCAGTAAAATGCTTCTCCTCCACCTCCACTTCCTTCTCTTCTCCCTTCTCCTCCTCCACCTCCCACTTCAAATTCACATCAGCATCATCATCCAGGAGCCTTCTACATACACACCTCAAGGTAAGTGTCAATTTCTAACATTTTTGTTGAATTTAGGCAATTTTCGGTGAGCTGGAACCAATTACCCAAAAACCCACTGAAACAATGGTTTTAGTTAACGAGATTTTCGGTTAACGAGCAACCTGCTGGAACGAATTGTGTTCTTTAACCGAGGGACCACTGTAATCCCCCCCTCCACCTCTTGCCAACAATCTTAAAGGACCCGTGAGAATTCAGGGTTTGTGGGTGGGGAGAGAGCAAAAACAGAAGCTAACCTAACTTATCCCAACCAAAAACTAATCTAACCCAACCAAAACCTAACCTCACCCACCCCAACTAAAACCTAACCTAAGCCAACCCGACCAAAACCTAACCTAACTTAATCAAAACCTAATCTAACCTTGTCAATAAGTTCAAATAGAGGAGGAGCGCACCCAATACACAGAGTGGCCATGGCAAGAATTAAAGCAGTTTTTTAATTCAAAATCGTATTCTTCTCCAGGCCATATCAATAACTGATTAGTCGAACACAAAGGAATTGAAGCTATGAAGCTCTATGATTGGTCCTTTTAGGCCCACCAGTTGTCTGATGCTAACATTTTAACTCTTGGGAAAACCACTAAATGTCTCTTTGTAACAATCTCTCAGAATTTGTAGAGTTAACATCAACCCTGATGGCTAACGATATTTTACGTGAATTTCCTACATGAATTTACCATCTCGGTTAGTATTCATTTGCGACAGAAGCGGTATTAGATAAAAGTTGTTGCAGTTGACGATATACAGCTCCTCCCCGACCTACGACGGGGTTAGGGACCCAAATCCAGGTCGTAAGTCGGTAATGCTTAAATAATACAAAGAAAATCTATAATGGGTGTCTCTTTTTCTACTCAGCACCAAAAAACACTCACTTTTAAGCTTGCCAGCCATTTTAAAAAGAATTACAAATGAAAATTTTGTCTGTGTACTGACTTTGGGACTCAAAAATATGTAATTTGACCAAATTTTGGTACGACTGAGGCAGGTCGTAAGTGCGGGTGGTCGTAAGTTGGGGAGGAGCTGTATTACTTCTAGTGAATTCAAAATTGCTCTAAACCAATTGGGAGTGAAACTGCAATAGTATTCCTAACTTATCATATAAACCTTTTAAAACATACCTAATGACACTGAATGGATTCTCGTTTCTATTTATCTATTTAATAGATTATAATGAATGTTTCCACAAGGTTTCATCCAATTCTATTGACTCCTTCTGGTGTTACTCAATAAAAAATCCACCTATCCGGGGAATCAATTCCTAACTAAAATAGAGGCAAATATTGACGATTAATCTGCCAACGAGTTATTTATTTTGAGGTTTATATTCTTACTATATTTTCATCAATGAGCTCTCATATAATAATCATTTTGGGGGGGAAACTGCTTCGTTTGGTAGATAATTAGGCGATTAAGTGTGCATTACTTCGTCTTTCTCGGCGGTAATGCAACTGAGAAGGAGCATCCCTGCCAATCACATTGACAATACTGATCGACACCAGTGTAGGTTATGAGCTGCAGGGTTAGGGTGGCTCCTCTCACTCCCACAAAAAATTTTAAAATTACACCATATCATGGTAAATTACTTCTGTTTAATATGCTGGAAGGTCCAGGGGCAGAGCCCCATGGCCAGGAAGTTAGGTAGGTTTCTTTGGTTAGATTGGCGAGGTCTTCTTACAATGCTTCTGATGCTTGTTTTCTTGGTAATTATTGACGACTGACCCGCTGCCAATTTTTCATTGAAAACTAATTTAAAAACACTGGAATTTCACTGTGTTTTAAAGTGGACACTGTTGTAGTTTTGGCAAATGTGTTAAAAAGTGGTTATTTCTAAATTAAACCTAAATTAAACCTAACCTAACCTTACTTGATAAAAAAAACAAGTGGTAGAAGCGTTGTTAGATGACCTCACTAACTTAGCCTTAACTAACTTCCTAGCCGTGAGGCACCACCCTCCGGATCCCGCGGCATGTTAAATAGAAAGAACTTACTCTGATGTGGTGTAATTTTATTATTTTTTTTTTTAACGTGAGAGCAGCCGCCCGGTCTGTGTGACTCATGAACATACACTGGCGTCGATCAAAGAAGATTGACGAAGTACCGCCGCA